TGCTCATGCTCAACATCTTTCAGCAGCTGGATGGGGCCCTGCTGTGTCTATTGCAGCAGCCCCTGCCCAAGACTCAAGTCCACAGAAGGCCTCCTTGTTGCTGTGAGTCACTCCCCTTCTCAACTCCAGGCTCTCTGGGCCCTCACTTATTACTTTAAAGGCCCCATTCCCCAAACTCATCATTGATCTGGCTTCAACAACTCCCCAGCAGCCATCTCCCTTCCACTCCTGCCTTACCAGGTGCATGTAAGGAGGTCCAAACCTCGGAATTACCCAGCAGCAGCCTCAACAGCCTGGAGAGCTTGGAGCCCCCTCTTCGGCCTGGAGCACCCCCAACACAGACAACTCAGCTGCTGAGCATGCTTTGGGGTGGGGGACCTAGCCCCGAGGCTTACCTGGTGGGAAATCAGCAGGCCTGGCTGGCCCTGAGGCAGCACCAGCACCGGCCCTGGTGGCAACTGCCTTTTCTTTCCTGCCTGGAGTCCAGTCCTGAACCCTAAGGCGTCTAATCAGCAGTCAGGAAGCTGATGCTCTGCTCTTCTGGCTGGGAAAGCCCAGACATGGGAACTGCCTGTTAAAGAAGCCTGCTCCTGGAAGCTTGGAAGAAAACGTACGGCAGGACAAACTACACCGCCTGGGCGTACAAGCTGAGAATCCAGCGTCACTCCAGTATCTGGAATCCAGAGTAAATGGCAATACCACAGCCTGGAGCCAGGAGGCTCAGGCCTAATTCCCCATCAGTGAAGACAGCTCGGGGCCAGACACTGGGAGGAGGGCCATAGGGTTGTATCCCAGAGGAACGGGAATGAGAAAAAGCTGCAGGAAACAGAGAGCCTAGATGCCACTTAAGTCCCCAGAGTCAGACCAAACATAAAGTTAGTACATCAGGAACCGGAGGTGAAACAGTCTGTAGCTGGATCTGTCCCCAGGCTTGTATTACCCTGTCCTCCCATTCCTCGTTTCAGCCGTGGGGCCATATTGGGCTGCAGGACCTTCCCGTTTAAGCTTTGGTTACTCAGAGTTCAACAGGTTTAATTTTCAATGTCCTTGCCGTGGTGACGGTGTCCTCCTAAGGGACAGCACCTAAGATGGTGTTGACAGGTGGGCACAGCAGGGAGCGGAAGGGGAACGCAGGGGCAGGGCTTTACACAGCCTTTGCTGTGGCACAACAGGGCTATGAGTGGTGCTAGGATTCGCTGACCGATTACTTCGGGCCCCTCTGTCACCTGTGCCGAAAGCACCGCTCCTCGTCTGCGGCCCGGAAGCCCAGGCCGGCCGTCCCACGCGATCCGCGAGGGGGAACCTATCCCCTTCCCTGACGGCACCTCTGGCCGGGCGAGTGCTTCCGGGGCGGAGGTTACCATGGCGGCGGCGGCCTTGGCTCGGCTAGGACTCCGGGCGGTCAAGGAGGTTCGGGTTCAGTTCTGCCCCTTCGAGAACAACGTGGAGTCTACGAGGTACCGGGGGAAGGGAGAGGGGACGGAAAAGGACGCACTTCTCTGCCGCCGGGGGTCTCACCCCCTGCGGCGCCGGGGGTCTCACCCCCTCCTGCCCGGCGCTCACGCCGCTCTCCCACCGCAGGACCTTCCTCCAGGCGGTGAGCCGCGAGAAGGTCCGCGCCACCAACCTGAAATGCTCGGTGATTGTGGATGTGAGGCACGACGGCTCCGAGCCCTGCGTGGATGTGCTTTTCGGTGGGCTCGCGTGGGGAGTCGGGCGGGAGGGGCGGCAGGCAGCCCGCGCCCCCTGGGCCCCGTGGGCCTTCTCGTACCTGATTCATTCGCTTCTTCCCCAGGAGACGGGCAAGGAAATGCTCACTGCCTTCGCCTCCCACGTCCAGGCCCGGAGCGCGGCGGGGAGCGGGGACCCCCCTGGCGCTGAGGCGGGCCGCTGACAGCGCGTCAGAGGCCAACAGCAGCTGCTAGCCTGGGCCTTAGCGAACACTTATCCGCCAAAAGCTCGACTTAATCACCCAGATCACTGTCTGGAGGCCGCAGACACCACCCCCGCCCCGCAAAGAGCCCTATGACTACACATTTAACCAGTGCTTCTGGGATGAGACGATCCGGGGAGGGCCTAGACAAACTTGAGTTTATTTCATTTTCTAACCATAGCTCACTCTTAACCGTTTTGAATTTGGCTCCCCCCACCACTCACTCAAGTGTGATACCTCTTACTCTTATTAGCTAAATCCAGCCCTGAGCTCTCCACCTAAGTAGCATTTGCCACTTTTAATTCATTCCCTATGGAACTTCTCTTCCTTTTCCTTCTCTTAAACATAAAGATAAACTTTTTTCCCCCTCTCTTTATTTTTGGGGTATCTCATCTTCTGTTATAACTTGAACTACCCTTTTGGGTTAAACCATGCATTTCTGTTTGGGTCTGATATTAATTTCTGTGCTACAGTCAGGTTACTACTATCGATTTTCTCCGAATCTTACAAACATTCTTTGTTCAAAATAGAATTGATAATCTTACATACACATATACTTGCCTCTCCCTGACTTCCCCATTCCTTTACAGGCACTCCATGTGCCCAGCCCCGGGGCTGGAAATCACAGCATGGTCTCGGGCTCTGCTGTCTGCTTTTCCTTCATACCCAGTCAGTAAGTTCATATTATTCTGTGTTAAACAAAAGCCCCTGAAATGCTCTCTTCATTCCCAGTCACTCTCCTGTATTATTGTTACATTCTCCTTTCTTTTCTCATCACTTTTGCTGCTGCTTAGTTTTATCTTTCCAAAGCACATCACTGGTTATGTCTCACTACTACTTGTTTCAGGGAACAGCACCTAAAGTACTTTTCATACAGTTACCACCCATTAGTGTGGATCGTGAATCAATTTAGGAGGTTAAATCAGCCTTTAATAAAGTAAAATAGAATAAAAAGTATCAGTGCATGCATGGCATATGAAATGAGAAGTATTCTTTTAAGAAAGTTAACTTTTAAGTATATAATTATAAATCTATATACAAGGTTTCCCCCCAAAATGTACACACACTTTAATAGCTGATAGCTCAATTTTGAAAATGAAATGTATTTTAATAAATACTGCCTTTATAATAATTCAAAGTGTGTGTATACATTTTTTGGGGGACACTATATGTGTGAGTATAGATATATAAAGTATGTGTACATCTGAATGTACTTGGTTACAACGTAGTTTGTGGTTTTTTTTACTATGGCTTACAGTGATTCTCAACCTTCCTAATGCCCCGACCCTTTAATACAGTTCCTCAGGTGGTGACCCCCCCAACCATAAAATTATTTTCATTGCTACTTCATAACTGTAATTTTGCTACTGTTATGAATTGTAATGTAAATATCTGATATGCTATATGTGTTTTCTGATGGTCACGACCCACAGGTTGAGAACTGCTGGCTTATAGGAAAAGATGGTTGCTAGCCACTGGGTTAGAGAACTTCAAAATGCTCAGCTAGGCAATCCAAGATCTCTAGACACTGCTTGCTGGGTGCTTTGCCAAATACATTTTCCATGAGCCTCCTACAGCATTACTGTACTGCTTCTCTGCTTAAAAGGGTGCTATCTTGCCCTAGCTGGTTTGGCGCAGTGGATAGATACAACGGGCTGTTTTTTTCCATCCCCCTTTAAAAAAGGAAAACTACCATAAGACAGTATAGTGTAGTAAAGATCCTGAATGCCTGAGGTTGAACTTCCAGCCTTACTCTTAAGTAGCTGTGTAACTTTTGGACAAATTACTCTCAGTGCCTCTTTCCTCTTTTGTAAAATAATAGTGCCTACCTCGTGAGACTGTTGAGAGGATTAAAGAATTGACATCTGTTAACACCTAGAACAGTATTGGGAATGAACTAAGTGCTATGTAAGAGGCCTATTGTCCTACTCTATGAATACCATGAGAAGGCAGGGTTCTTTGGAAAAGACATTAATGCCAGGGAAAATAGAAGACAGGAGGAAAAGAGGAAGACCAAGTATAAGGTGAATTGACTCCATAAAAGAAGCCATAGGCATGAGTCTGCAGGAGTTGAGCAGGACTGTTGAGGATTGGACACGGGACAAAACTCATTTATGGCTTGCCAGGAGTCTGAGCGGACTCAATGACATGTAATATACAAGAAGCTTTACACTACAGTCAAAGTTACAGCCTAGATTTGAATTTCCCAGCTCTGGTTAATTGGCTATTATCTTTGGCCACTCTTAAGCACTCCTTATTTTTTAAATGAGGTGGTTCAAACATTGCTGTAAACATATGAACTTGAGGTTTGGGCTGTTCTCTCCGTCCCCAGCACCTTGTATAGTGCCTGATATAGTGTGTACAATAAACATTTGTTGGATTTACAAATATTTAGTATCTACCTTGTGCCTATAACTTTCATTAGTACTAAGATACAAAGATGAATAATAAAACTCAGGTATGTAATAAATGCTATAATAGAGATGTGGACCAGGTGCATTGGTAGTAAAAAAGACAGGCCTGACCATTGGGTTTGGTTTAAAGGTGGTATTTTTGGTGTTAATCCTCACCTGAAGATATTTTTTTCCCATTGATTCTTAGAGAGAGTGGAAGGGAGGGGGAGACGGAGAGAGAGAAATATCAATATGAGAAAGACACATCAATTGGTTGCTTCTTGCACATGTGCCTTGACTGGGCCTGGAATTCGAGCCTGCAACCGAGGTACATGCCCTTGACGGAAATGAACCCGAGACCTTTCAGTCTGAGGGCCAACCCTCAAACTCAGTGGTCGCCAACTGGTGGTGCGCAGACCACTGTTGGTTCGTGAGGTCCAAAAGGTTGGTGACGGCTGCTCTAACTACTGAGCCAAACTGGCTAAGGCAGAAGGTGATTTTTGAATGAGCAAAAAGTCTACCAATGTAGGGTGGGGCCAGAAATCATAGTGAAATTGGAGTAGACATGCAACATAAAATATTTTATATAATGAGTTTCCATGAGAGGTGTGATAATAGAGTAGCATAAGGGTGTGGAGTAGGGTTTTTAAATGACAGGGATTTTTACTTTATGAAAATACCTTTTGTGGAGGAGAAACTTCCACGAGTGATTACTGCCCCACTGGCCAGCTAGATCCTGGTCAAAACACATTGCTTCCTGAAAATCCCCCACACTATCTGACCTACCTGTCCCCTATGCCCCAGACATGCTGGTTCCTAGAAAGCACTGTTGTCCTGCTCCAGGCAAGTATACAAGGCATTGCCCCTTTACCTGGGATGGGTTACACCCCTTAGCATCTGCCAAGTGGCATGGAGGATATTCCATGTTGTCTTTGCCACAAGGCACACCTCATATGTAAATTCCCTTGATAAATTCTTGATGTGTACCGACCTGGCAGGGGAGATACCATGATCACAAAGGTGGTGAAGGTGGCTTTCCCAGGGTGAGGCTTATCCATTGCATTCCAGATATGCTGACCCCTGCGGTTTCCTCAAATGTGGGAAATTCCAATGCAAAAGTTTTCATAGTGGGAGCCTAAAAATTAAATTCAATGAAATGATGGAGCTTCCCATCTATCAGCCCCAAGAAATTTTAACACCTTTTATGCTGAGCTGTTGGTTACAAATAAGTAACTGAATCTAAGTTGCATTCTGAACCACCATCAAATGTAATAATTGACTCTTCTAGGTCAAACTGAAGTGCTCCTATCTACAGCCTTCCTTAACCTGGACATGGGCAGTCCTTTCCTTAAGCTCCGTTGCTTCCTGGGTTGTAGGAAAGGTAAAAAAAAATGAATTATCTAAGTGCATGCATCACCATTATGGTCCTTTTAGGGTTCCTCTAGAAAGATAAGGAATCGTAGACTGAGTGGGTCGCTGAAAGACACTGCTGGATCAGATCTCAGGCTTCCTCTGGGTCCACTCTAGCCCCCTCCTAGTAGGAAAGTGGGCAAAATGATCCAGTTTGATTCAGATACACCTGGATTCCAAGCTAGCCGCTTCCTATCTCTGTGACCAGGGCCAAATTATTTGAACTTTCTAAGCCACAGCTTTCAGCCATCAGATTGGGTCATGATGATGAAACCTAGGGTCATTACAACTTTGATTAAATTTAGTTTTAAATCCTAGCCCTAGAAATAATACCAAATCTCTCCATATACAGGGTTGAGCAAAAGTAGGTTTACAGTTGTACATATGGAAAATAATACAATAATTAAATAATAATACAAGAATAAACTTTCACATATTCACAACTGTGAATATCCCTCAGAGACCTAGCCTGTTGCCCATTATCAGCATCCCCTCGCCCCACCTCCAAGGCAGCAAAAGACAGTAGCTCAAATGACTAATAGTCACTTGGTCCAGACCTCTGGCAGGCTAGATAACATTGATAGAGATTTATTTTTTAATTAAAAAATTTTTTTAGCCGAAACCGGTTTGGCTCAGTGGATAGAGCGTCGGCCTGCAGACTGAAAGGTCCCAGGTTCGATTCCGGTCAAGGGCATGTACCTGGGTTACACGCACATCTCCAGTGGGAGATGTGCAGGAGGCAGCTGATCGATGTTTCTCTCTCATCGATGTTTCTAACTATCTCTCTCCCTT